ATATCCCACAAAAGCATCGAAAACTGGACACACTGTACAGACCGGTTTCGAGCTTTTGGCTCTCATCAGTGCAGGGTAGTCCCTATCAGCTAGCATTCCGAAGACCGTCGGCTAAGCGGGATAGGCGTATCCTGGCACAACAAAACAAAATCCAAAATAAGCATATTTGAAGTCTCATAGGCATATCTCATGGGCTGCATGAGTGTAACGCCATCTAGAGTAGTAGGAAAGTATCACTCCACAGAACTGAAATATCCATTTTAGTGATAAATTGGAGTGGCTGATCACCCGACTGGCGTTATTTCAACTACGAAATGAAATAGAAATAGAAAATGTTAATCGAAATTAATCTGCATCAAGGAAGATTTCGGGAGAATGTATTTCGATGTACTGCGTGGCATTAGATAGGAAAGTAGCTGTTTTTTGCCCGTCATCTACCATTTTTGTGCATTGTATGAACATTCGTGGAAATGACTGACATTTTTTGTAGATTCCATTTTGAGAATTTTGGCATTATGTATAGTGAGAATAGTTTCGACACAAAGAATGCCAAAGTTGCAAAATTTCAATTGCGAACACCCTTTCTAGACCCCAAGTGTGATACATTGATGGAATCAGGACTACAGGGAGAATCTGAAAATGCAATAAAATACAGGCTATTCCATTTGAAATAACAAAGTTGTTGCTACCTACTTTTCGATAGAAGCGGCAACGGCGCAGCGCTGAAGATATTTCAGAAGTATATCCCCTCCGGAAATAAAGTTGACGAGTGCCAGTTTCTAGTATTTTTTTGAAATCCGGTTGTGGCGGTCAGATTCAAAGATGGTTGGATGGTGTTAGCGCTCTTATTGCATCAGAAGTGACTAGAGGTGTCCATCCAGGTGCAACATGTTCTTTGCATCTGACTGTACGTATCGATACATAGATTTCGTGAGGATGTAATGCAATGTTTTGCGTAGCCTTAGCCTGGAAAGTAATTGTTTTTCTCCCTTAATCTATATATACCATTGTTGTTTCTTTGACCTTTTTTGTATTTATTTCATATTTTTTCCACTTTGAGAATTTCAGCTATTTCGTAGTTGGAATATGAGGTAGAACATTTATGAAGCAAACCAAGTATATAATATGTCGGCATCAAACAGTGAAATCCGTCATTCTATGGAATGCCTAGTTATTACACGTATTGTCGGCGAGAAGCGTAACAGCAGTAGTCTCTTCTGTTCTCTCAAGTAATTTTCTGAAAAATATACTTTCTAGGAAGGAGGTTCAATTAGGCGGAAAATAGTCTCTCTTCTTATGTACATGCAGAAAGGATATTTTCCTTCCTCAATCCTCCGACAAACAGAGTAGGTAACGGCTGAAAATGGAAGTTACGCTGTCTGCCGACCATACGTGAAATGACTAGGCATTTCAGGGAATGATGGATTTCACTAATTGACACCGACATATACATATCACTAGAATGATAGCAAGGCCGTGCCGCGGATTTTTTTTCGGGTGGGGGGGTCCAAAGAGAAAAAGAACTACTAATTCAACATTATTTTTTGAACTAAAGGAAAAATGTCGGGTTCATGGCGATATTTCGGGATGGGGAGGGGAGGGGAGAGGGGTGGTCCGGACCCTAACATGACTATTCAGTTTTGAGTTATTGTCACTTATAAAACCCAAATTACAGCATTTGTCCAGAAAATTTGATCATATATCATACTTTTTGTTTCAATGATGACATTCTGTTTGAGTTTATTATTGAATAAATATGTATCAATAATATTTAAAGACCTAGGCATTCATTTCAACAAAAACCTGATCATCAGCAAAAAGATTTATGCAGTGTGATCCAGAAATATGATTATTATGATTCAGATAAATAATATAAATAGCAATGGACCCAATACACTACCCTGGGGTGTGCCGCACTCTCAATTATAAGTTCAGCTTTCCGCGAAAAATGCTATCTCCTTGATTACTTTTTTTTAACTCTTGGAGGGCTCGAAAGGAAATTCCTATGATTCTCGAAGAACATCGTGCGCACCTAGGGAGGATGGAGAAAGTTATTACACAAAAACCCTGACAGCGAAATAGTTATTTTCAGCTTGGGAGTATATATTTTAGAAATAATCTCATATTAATGAAGATTAATTGATTTGAAAACTTTTTCAAAATATGAAAATTAAAAAGAACAAAAAATAAGTAGTTCTCATACACACAATACTAATCGAAAGCCATTCTGAAAATATTCAACATAATAGGAGAGAAAAAATAGCCAGATATTACAAAATAACATGAACTCATAACAATATATATATATCACGATCTAAATAATGGGCTCAAAGCTTCATATTAATCCGGAAAGTCTGATGATTCTTCGCTTCTTTTTATTTGAGTGAATCCCGCACACAATATTCAATATAGTTTTCAAAATATCAAAAGACCCCACAACTGGAACATGAGTAATAAAACGTGCATTGCCTTTTACCTATAGGGAATTACCGCGAAATCGTTAATACGGGGAAACTAGGTAGGTATAATACTAGACAAATTTTTACGCGCTCTTTATTTCTAATTTATTTCGGACTCATTGTAGGTAGCTCCATAATTTTCTCACTATTCAATTGATGCATTATTCTTGTTTGACAAACTCAGTCAATTTCATTTTAAACCGATTCCTAATTGGCAAAAAATAGTATTCCGTAGTACAACGTCCTGATTTTCATTAAAATTGGATTTCTTCACTACATCATAGATCGGTACTGGTTCATCCTAATAAATCTATTTTTTTACCGAAAGTTGGGTAGTTCATCAGGGATCAATTCGTCTTGATTGAGTGTGCTTCTAATTTTCAAAATAAATGAGCTATAACCTTTCAATTACGAACGCATCGATATGAAATGATGTGAAATCTCAACCTACTAGTGTGACGTCAGCATCGAGGTAGAGGGGATAGACTACGGCCCGGTGAGATAGAGTAGGCTCTGGTTAACCACCACATGAAGGTTCCATACGAGCCCTTCAATTCATGTACTTGCTACTGAATCACCTTGTATAGGGCGCGGTACGTCACCGAACGTCTCTGTTTCTGTTCGGTGGGTACGTGAAATTCAAAAAGGAGAAAAGCACCACCGTCTCTAACCCATCCAATATAAGTTTCATCGATACCGCAATCTCCATATCGCCTTCCCCGCTGATTATAAGGGAGTTGGCGCGCCTCTGAACTTTCCCGATAAATACAAGAAGTTAGTTCCACGAGACACCCTGCCTGCTGCTTAGTATGCGGCTAGTATGACGTCGTTGAGGAACTTGCAACTTGCCAGTTTCTCTAATGTTCATCGAAGGCTTTCTCACTTCTCCCGGGGCGACCCGCTTTCCCAACTTTCATCCTTTCCCCCGCCCACATCCGCAAACACAGTCCCTGCTAGGAGCTCGCAAGATGGAAGGGAAAACTCGGCCGAGTACAGGGACAGGACAGGGTTGATGCAGGGTTCATCTCCAGATGTTGATAAGGCTTTTAGTGCACAGAAAATAATAGCGAAAACTATGTTCAACGTATTCCAATGCATAATATGTCAACAACAGAAATGAAACACAGAGGAGAAGGGAAACACTGCGTTATGATTTTGTTCCAGCAAGGAGAACCAATATGGCGGCGATAGCCCCTTTGGCGAGTCTGCACATTACTGAATGTCATCTGTCAGCTTTCGTGTTTATTTGGGGTTTATTCACAATTTTGCGTTTTCTGCATTTATTCTACGTTTTCGATTATGCCTTCAATATAATTCATTGGATTCTTCAGCAGTAGTGGCATATTTCCAAATATACAGGGTGTCCCAAAATTAGCCTGCCAAACTTCACCAGCGGCTTCTTCGACCAAAAATAGGAAGAAAAGTTTCAATGAACATGAGTCGAGAAATGTCTCCTAAGGGAGTTACGGCCCCTTGAGAGGGGGGTCCTGAAGATGATATTTCTTGAATATTTCCGAAACGCCACGTGATGAAATGATGCAATTTGGTACACGAACTAAACTTTCCATGCCCAATGCGGTGAACATATAACATCATTTCATTTCAAAGTTTCACTCAGGAGTGTATAATACAGGGTGGGACTACATTAAATATTGCTCAAACTTCTTCGTATGAATATTTTTTGACAATTTATTCTTGGATTATGAAAATCACGAAAAAAAGATGCTCCTGTTCCGCATCGATAAGATGTTTAATTTTCGAGTGAAATTGATTCAAAAATATTGATGCATAGTGACTATAAAAAAATTGAGTACTTATTTTTACCAAACAACCTCAAAAAATCGCAAAAAATAGGAAAATGATGATGAAAAAACTACTTCAATTCTTGTGCATTTCTTTCCATTTCCACTACACCTCATTGCAATGTTATGCATAATATCTGAGATGTAACAATATTTTTGAATTGCTCCCACTCGATAATGATACATCTGATTGTCACGGAACAAGAGTATTTTTTTCTGTAAGAAGGTGTGACATTTCATAATCCGAGATTAAATTGTCGAAAAATTTGCAAACAAAAAATTTTGAGCAATATTTACTGTAGTTCCACCCTGTATCATACGCTTCTGATTGAAATTTCGAAATGATTTTATTTTCACTGCATTGGGCATGGAAATTTCAGCTCTTGTACCAAATTGCATCTTTGAATTACATGGAGTTTCAGAAATAATCAAGAAACCTCATCTTCAAGAGCCCCCTTTCAGGGGACTGTATCTCCCTTAGGAGACATTTCTCGACACATGTTCATTGGCAGTTTGTTTTTTATTTTTGGTCGTAAAAGCCACTGGTGAAGTTTGGCAGGCTAATTCTGGGACACCCTGTATACTATTTTCGGTAAGCAATGTTTTTTTTTGGTTAGTAAACAGACCAGGCTTGAAAACTTTCAGATCAATTCAAAAACATGCTTGAATTTGATGTTTACCTCTTCTTCGTTTTAGGAAAAAACTATGACTTGAATCGCTTGTGAAGCATTGGAGATACCTGACACGTACATAAGTCCTTGCAAGGTTGTTTTCTCCAAGCATTTCGAGGCATCAGAGTTGTGTTTCCTGAAGGCAAAATAACAGAATGCTGTTCCCAAAGATTCTATAAGGAGAAGGAAATCAACAGAGAGTCCTCCTCCTCGACTCCAAAATAAAAAGTTGACAGGTTTGTTATTATAAGTTTCACCAATATCTTTGAAATCTTCAGATTATTTGTCATATAGAATGGCAACGAGTTTTTGAAATAATGATAGGTACTTGGTACTTCTGTTAACTGAAGTACTATGGAAACAAAAACAAACTAAAAATTCTGCTGGTGTCTTTTTTAGGGGTGACATAATAATATCATGTATTGAAATAGACACAACCTGTCCAATTCACAAGTAAAAGTCCTGGTAGGAAACATCCTCCAACAATAAAGAGTGGATGTGTCTTCAAAGCATTGTTTCCAACCAAATAATGAAGAAGTGATTATCATAGCTCATCAGATAGTGCTGGATTGGAAACATACCCCTGAGAAAAATATGGAGCTGATTATAAGAATTAAAATATACAGGTTTGTTCATTACTTTTTGAATACCTACTTGGTGTTGCTTACATGAAAAAAAACAATATTTCAGAAGAATAAAGATATAGAACCAAGAAAGAAGTCTATAGATATGGAGTAAAAGGAGATTCGATCAGGAAGAAGTTGGAACAATTCAGTCATCAATGAAGTTTTCAATCTTTGGTAGAAGTCCATCATGGTTTCTCATCAAGTAGTATTATTTAGTAATTGATAAAGTTTTTGTTTTGTATATAGATGATTTATTGAAGACTCATGAATAAGTGAATATTTTCATGTGGATATTTTCCATAGTTTAGGGACCTATTAATTATATTATGTAGTCTATTTAATTAGTATTGAAATAGATAAATCTTGATGAATCATGAAACTTTGTGTATTTGGGTCTGTACAATGTAATGTATGAACTGGTATCAATGTTGATTATCCAAATAAAATTCATATCAAGTTGATATTTGACTCTTTGAGTTGGTACCTACACTTTTTCAAATGAAGAAAGTTGCAAACGAATGTAGAAATATTGTGTTATAATCTTGATTTAATTTTCATTATTATTGAAATGAACAAATTTAGTAGTCCTTATTTATTGTATGTTGTGTTTATCACTTGTTACGTTGTATATAGATGAATTATGGTTGTCAACATATTATGTAGTTTTTGATAAATGTCTACAAAAGTTATTTCTGCTTTTCTATCGAAATATTTTTGCCTCGATCCATCAGAAATAGTAGGTATATTTCATCATATATCCAGAAAAAAATTGTCAATATGCCACGCTGTAACCATTAGAGATTTTTCAATAGATGTCTATACAATTTATTAAGTTTATAGCATTCTACATTGCTGCATGGCTATATCCAGATCTTCGAAAGTTTAAGGTTGCATTCGAAAATGCATTTGAAACTGGTCACCTATATCATAGCTGGTATATACCGTTATTTCAGCAAAGTTATCGACTTTTTCGTGTACGGTTCTATCATCATCGTCCTCGTACAGTACTTCTTCGGCGAAATAGACGGCAGGAATAACAATAATATTAAAATTCATTTAAAATTCCAGCAAGTTGAAGGGGGACTAAGGCAGACATCTGTAAGAATTATCAGTACGGTCGATCAGGAACTCGAGGCATTCCTTGCTTTGAGTTCACTCCATTTGTCACTTGACAAAGATTACCCTACTCCCAACTGCGTATGTGCAAGCCGAACTAACCTGAGGTGAACTACTTTTTGTTGAGTAGCGAAGGGTAGAAATTGGTAATGCAGAATATATTCGAAGTTTATTTTTAGATGTTTTCATCCAATGAGGGATGTCGCATCAGGGTCGGATTAAAATATTGCTATCATTAGATAGAATATCACAGTTAGTGATTTTCCTCCTCCAGAAACAAGGATATTCCTAGATAGTTCAGCAACTTCTAGATAGATGGACTCGAGCAGATTTCAAGAGTATAGACAAATTGGTCATATTGCTATACCTTACGAACCAGCCAACAATTAAGGCCAAATTTGACTACAACATCTTAGATGGAAGTGAATTATCTTGTTAGTATGAATAACTTCACACAGGAATAACCTACAGGAATGTGGAAATGCCCTTGAGATATTAGCAGAATCAAAGGAAGTTGAACTGGTATAGGTCCCGGGTCACAGTGGAGTGCCCGGAAACGAAACAGCAGACGAACTTGCTTTTCTGGGACCGGAGCCTGTACTAGGTATAGCAAGGAGCCAAATTACGTCAGCCCTCGATGAATGGGCGGACAATGCACTAGGAGAATACTGAAGGAATATCACAGGTTGCAGGCAGGCCAAGGAATTCATGGCCGGTCCAAGCAAATCAAGGAAGGAGTGGCTGCTTGGCAGAGACCGCCAAGTACTCCGCCTCCTCATAGGAGTACTCACAGGACACAACAGGCTAGGCAGATATCTATCACTTATAGGAATAGAGGACAACCCCACTTGCCGCAGATGCGGGGAAGACGAGGAAACGTCACTCCATTTCCTGGGCGAGTGCGAGGTGTACGAAAGGCTGAGATTTGAAATCTTTGGAGTAGACAAATAACTCCAACAGGAGGACTTGATTATATTAGAGTGGACGGACATACTGGCCTTCATCAGAAGGTCAGGGAGAATCGTGAAGGAAATCTAGGTGAAGGAAGCGTATATGTAGAGAGCAGTGGTAAGCAAAAAGGGTCCATCGGGGCCTACTTGCTTGGCTACAGCCTCTTCACCTACTACTACTACTACTATACATTAAAAGTAATCGAGGCATATCATAGAGTTATTTAAATGGTATCTGGGGCCTCAGCAAAATAATTTCTACGGTGGATTGTATTTGTAGCACATTTGGTTGAACATATCTGTAATATATGGGAAATTTCTCTGAAAATTTGCAAAGAATAGCTACCCCCTGAGATTTTCCGCTCCAGGCGACTGCTTAACGCGCTCAATAGGTGATCTGGGCCTGCCCATTGGTTCTAAGAATATACGTGAGTATATCTCAATATAATATCAGCTCTCTGTCATTCAGTGGGCTCAAACCCACATGTTCGTACGGCACTCAAAATAATCTATGGAAGCCAGCAATGTATAAAAAAAAGACGATGAATGTAATTATATCGAGCAAATAAAAAATAGATAAACCTCTACTGAATTAGTTGTTGTTGGTAATGCCGTGAATTTCAAGCTCATTAGCTACTTTTTCCACGATCGACTAGAAAAACTTTTCCTTTATAGTAGGCATTCGCCAAACGAGCTTTATTTAGTCCAACTTTATACACTTAACCATTATATTCGGCGTAGCTATCCGACGAGCAGAGCATCTGGAGAACAAAGCGACATAGGTAACGACGTTGTGTCAATCCGTGCAAATCACATTAGCGCCGCGAAAGCGTATGCTCTATCATGCCGTAATTTTCGCATAAACGAAGCCAATCACGGAATATAAAGCAGGCTGCGGGCGAACAAGAGAACGTCGGGAGGTTGGGAGGCGGCCTGCGGGAGGGAATTGCGGGACGTCTCTCCCGTCAATTATTAAACCATTTTGTGGCAGCCAAGTTCTAGGAAGATTAGAATGAAACGGGATGAAAGAAAACAGCCTTAGGTGGGTTTTGATGAGTTCGAGTTCGGTTCGGAGTATAGACCTTTCACGCTTATGGGGAAATATACCGTTACCACCGATAAAACAAGGCCAGCAGACTCTGACGTAAACAGCTCGTGACGTCGCATACTCAGGCCATCTTCCAAGGCATTCGCGTCGATCGATCGTCAGTTTGTTTTTGTTTAAGAACGGTGGCGTAGGTAAATCACGTGTGCTCGAATTCTCTTGTTGTTTATTCATCAAAATAATTGGCGGAGAAATTACTGTTTTGTGAAATATTTCGTGTTGTGATAGGCGAAATAACAATGCCTTACAAGTGTTGTGTTCCCTTTTGTCGGGGGAATTATGTGGGTGGTCCAAAAGTTCATGCTTTTAGTTTCCCGTTGGACAAGGAACTATCGAAAAAGTGGGTACCTACATGCAATTCACCGCAAGGATTTTACGACTCCATCTAAATACAGTAAAGTATGTGAATTACATTTTACTAAAGATGATATTATTACTTCATCTACTGCAACCGATTCAAAAACTGGCAAAACTGTAACAATAGATTTGAAAATTCCTAGGCTCAAACGAGATGTTATTCCCACTCAATTTCCCAACTGTCCATCTTATTTATCGAAAGATGTAAAATTACGCACAAGTCGTGATGAGAAACTTGAGATACTAGAGACTAAAAATTTGGCACAAGCACTTACCAAAAGTGAAACTGAATTCGAAAATTACCAAAAATCATTTTGCTACACAGAATTTCAAGAATTTCTAGTTGTATTAGAGTCTTTTCAGTTGCCCGAAAAGTGGTTCAAAATTATCGATTTGCAAAAAGTCACATTATTCAAATTGTCTTATTCTCCAGGGCCCGTAATTACATATTCGGTTGTGATTGATTTTGTTTTGAATGTGGAATCATTTTTGTATGACCTAGCGATACAAACATCTCTAAAAGCCAATCTGAAAACACCTTTTATCTCTTATAATATCAATCAAATCAAGGAATTACTAATTGAAATAGATAAAAACGAGATACATAATTCGGGAAAATGTCTTGATAATCAGAAAAAGAGGGTTTTGAAACATATTTCGAATGCATTGGACTCATTGGTTTCTGACTCGGTTTCAGATCTTGATGAAGATTCCGAAAACACTTCAGCTTTATTGTTCCTCTCTGAGCAAATTAAATTACATACATCCTGCAAAGAACGATATCGTTATTCGAATAATACTATAATTTTAGCCTCTATAATTCATACAATAAGTCCACATGCTTATAAATTTTTAAGACATTTTGGAGTACTCATATTACCTCATTCAGGTACAGTCAAATCGATATGTAGTTCGTTGTTAACAGATCCTACATTCGAAGAAAGACAAATGTCGTTATCTCATGCAGAAAATGTATTTAAGT